ATGAAAACCCACTGGATCAAGTCATCTACCAGCTGTGGATACATCATAACCTTCAAGAGGTTACTGAGATATTGTCTCACCCCTTTCTTAATTACTGCAAGAACCAATAATAGAGCTCAAGGAAGGAAGACTCAAGGACTACCAACTTCATGATAAGTATGGCCTTGGAGGAAGAAGCCTGCTGCCGTACCTAGGGCCACCTAACTTAGACATTTTATTTATTTAATTGATATTTTTTTTATATTGGACTGTATTACTTTTAGTCTTCGAGCCCCAAGTTAAGGTAATTTGACTAAAGGCATGAGTATATATTTTATTTATTTTATTTCTATTTATCTTTTATCTGAGTTATAATTGAGCAAGTTTATTCCTTTCCTACTATATAGTAGGCTACATAAAGGAGTTTGCTCCTTTCCTACTATAATAGATATGAATAGTTGATTGATTGTAGATTTATTATGGGATTAATATTTTTAATCTTTTTTTGCTATGGTAGCCTTGAATCTTATGTGAAAACCTTTTTTATCATAGTAAGGGCTCATGTTAGTTGACTAGGCTTGCTTTAAATGTCATGGTAGAAGTAAGGGTAATTCTTTTTCTACCATAATAGTTAGGTTGTTCTTTTTCTACCATGGTAAGTGTAAATTTTGGGTTAGGGTTGTTTCACAACCTCCTTAGACTGAAGGGTGCCTAGTCTTCCTTGAACCTTGACTAGCTTTACCTCTAAGGCCCTTTTCTTAGCTTCTTCCAACTCCTTATATACTCTCCAATTATTGTTCCAACTCTGCCTTCTTCGCTCTTAACACTTGAATATGCTCGGCCTCAATGGCTAAGTCATTAGCCTAGCTATCTAGGGTTTTCATTTTCGTAAGCATCTTAGGAGGGGTTGGTTGAACTCCCTATTTAGCCTTGATATTGGCCATTAGGTCAGGCAACACCTTAAGATGAGTGTAAATTTAGGGAAAGGTGTATAGAAGTTAGGTATAAAGCATCTCGACTATTAGCAACAGTCTTTTTAAACAAACGTATTTAAGCCCTTGAGGACCTCCTCAAAATGAGGTTCTCAGAGCTACATTGGGTCCTTTTTTATGAAGAACTTAATAATGTCCTAGGCTTCCTTAATAAAGAAGTCCTTACAGAACTCAGGCCTTACAAAGTACCCGCTCGAGGATTGTCGAAAAGGAGGTGGAGCCAATAAAAAACAAGATGAACAATCAAACAGAGCAAAATGAAGAAGGAGTCAAGTACCAAATTAAAGAGCTTACCTCTATAGTTATAGGAGCCTTGCCTATATCTATAGATCCCTCGAGCCTCAGTGCAGGAATTGTACTAGCCCCAACTTACAGTAAAGGATATTGTAAGACTATAACATCTTGTGAAGGGACTGAGGCGATAAGCTCTAATTCTTGAGTGGTTAGAGCTATTTGAGGACCTATTAATGAAGTGGTCCCTATAGCCCTAGATGGAGTAGGCGTGGCTACCTCATAGAGCATCAGGTTCCCCTAAAGTTTCTAAGCTATCGCCACCAAGAAGAGGGGTTAAGACAAGGATGGAGATATCTTGCTCTTGCTCCTCCTCCTTGTCAATATCACCCATCAGAATATGACGACAGTGGCTATTGTTAGGTTGGCTTCTTGGGGTAGCCCCAGCAGCATTCAAGCTAGAGACAACACCAATTAAGGGATTTTTTTTTTCTTCTTCTTCCTCTCAACTTTAAGCATGGAATCATCTTTAAGTTTCCTCTTGGACCACACCTTCTTTAGCACATTACCTCTCACAACCTGAGAGGTAACTTGTTCACTAGCCTTTTGAGCTACCAAGGTGAAAGAAGTAGCCATAGAAGTAGAAGAAAGGGCTAAAGCATCCAAGTTATCTTTCAAGAAGGTTAGTAGTTGAGGTACCTGCACCTAATTCCACTATGCAAAATAAAGTACTAATCAGCACCAATTATAAACTTAAAATAGCAAAGTAGAAATCAAAGAAGCTCACTAATATAGGTCCTTAAAAAAGGCCTGAAGCATTTAAGCCACCATTTGTTGAATCAAAGGCAAGCCTCCCTAGCGACCAACTCTACCTTGCAATGTACTTTAACATCACAAGGCAAGGCCAAGTTAAGGATAGTGCCTCTATCCAATATCTCCAACCTAAACCTCTAGGTGAGACCGTAAAGAATACATTGATTGAGCTTGAATTGACCAGCCACTACTTGGGGGTGATAATACTCTAAGAATGCCTTGGTGGATTTCATGGAGGAAGTAGTCAATGGCAGCCACATCTTCTTCGAAGTGGTGGTCGAGATAAAAATTTCATCTCACAACTTGATATAAGAATTGCAACCTATATGGAACTTGAATCATTAAGGGAAATGGCAATTTGAGACAAGAAGTACCCTCAGTTGATGACCTAGAGACTACTTTTACTAGCAAAAGAATTCAAAATAATCACTTGTTGTATAGGGTAAGTAGCAAGGAGCAAAGTATAGAGGGGTCTCTATAATGGTGTCTTTAGGGGAGGGGCCTGACAAAGATTTAGGAAGTAAGCCATAACCTATAACCTCATAAACCACAAGAGTCTATATAAGTTGTCAAAAGGCTTCCTCTATACAAACTCCATTATCCTGTCATATAGATAACATAAGAATATGGTACTCAAGGAGACATGTGGCCTACAATATAGGTGCTTCACTATGGGCTAATGTTGCGACATGGGCTTCCCTCCGCTTAGGATGAAGATCTATTGGTTTAATATCACCCACAAGAAGACTAGGTTCTCTTCAGCTATAATGAGCTCACCAGCAAGTTCACTCACATTCTTTATAATAATAGAATTATACGAACTAACAACCTTCACCTCAGCCTTGATTTTAGTATCCATGGAGGCATAGGCATGATAGGTGGCAGAAATGTGGAAGAAATCCTCTTTTGCCATGATGGATAAGCCCTAAGGACATAAAAACATCTAAGACAGTGATGGTTATGGGTTGAGCTCAAACAAAAACGCATTGCACCTAAGGGACCAAAAACAGAGCAGGGCCTCAAGGAGGATAATGGGGATGTTCACGTTGACAAGGGACAGTTGAATCAGGTCAAAAAAACCTACTTCCTCTAGAGATCTTAATAGGCAAGTTATAAACACTTCATCCACTTAGCCTAAATAGATGGAGGTAAGGGCCAATTGCATAACTTTCTGTGAAAGGACTCCTTAAAAGGGGAGGTCTCTCAAGCCAATAGCAATTCCCAAAATGTAGACAATGGCTATAGTTTTAAGGATCATAGGGCCTTCTGAATCGATGATCTCTAAGGCTATTGACAAATAGCCAACATCAGTCATAATGGCCGAAGTGAAACTATAAAGGGGAGTACTATATTTAGAAAATCAAAAGATGGGGCTAGAATTTGAAGGAACTAAAAGGAAAAGGAAAGGAATACTATGAGGAAAGACTCACTAGAAGTAGAGACAAGCGATAAGCCTTGCTAAAGACGATGATTCTAGAACAAAATAGGAAAAAAGAAGATAACTTATAAGAAAAATACAGTAGGGAGTAGTTACTAGAGTATCATCTTGTAGAGACTTAAGAGGCTGTGAATAGTAACAAATCATTAGGAAAAGCAGCAGGGGCTACAACCTGAGAGATCTATGCAGCATCAGATTAAGATGCCATTGTCAAAGAACAGAGAAGATGAATAAAGAAGAGCACAAATAAAATAACAGAAACTTGAAGGGCAAAAAAGAGTAAAGAGAATGGAGTGGTAGAAGGAATGACAATAGTAAAAGGAAAGGTTTATAGTCCTAAGGATGTAAAGAAATGAAATGTTAGAATGCTTTTCCATTCAAATGTGCCACATGGCTTACGACCATTAGCTACTTACACACGGGAGGTATTGTTTAGGCCTAAAACGAAGCGTCAAGCCTAAAAGCACAAAGAAAAAGAAAAACTAAAATGACAAGCCTAATACTCAAATGAAAACAAGGCTCGATTCATTCCTAGATGGAGTCGTACCAAGTACATACTTAGTATGACCCTTAAGACTCGAAATGACAAAATGTTAAAGACTATTGAGTGGACATGGGATCATTATCTGACATGCCACGAATCTTGCAGGGCCATACTTGGTGATCACAAATCTTTTGCATATGGGCTTTGGATTCTTCTGGCGTAACGGTCTCAGGCGTGCAATTATAAAGGATGATCAACTGACATTCAAAAACACAGAATCTATACCAAAAACATATTCATGCTTATTTTTTGAATTCAATTTACATTGTATTTTGCACTTAGACTTAGGTTTTTCATAGTTTTCACAATTGTAAACACTCATACTTCATTGTTATTAATCTAATCACCTTTACACCAATTTCTTTGCATCTTTGCATTCAGGTGAATTGAGATAAGAGAACTTAGAACCTTTTATTCATCTTTGAGATTCCACATCTTTGGCATACTTGGTAGTTTATTTTTCAAACACAATCAATTTGTGACGAACATCTCCAAAAAAAAAAATCTAATCACCCTCAATGCAGGTAGGTTTTGGTGGTTTGGTTGCATATATATATGGACGTGGTGGCATTCTGGAGGCATTCTAGTGTTTTTATCCCGCGTTATCGCCAAAACATATGCTAAAATCACGTGCTCCCAGTCGGTTTCACATTAATTGTGCAAATTGAACCGCGAAGTTAATGTGAGATCAGGGAGGAGAAAACGTTGAACAGGATGCATCGTCAGTACTTAGCTACATAGTTATTTGAAGCGCTCTTTCCAAGGTCACTTAATTACTTTCATTTGACGATATTCATATCATACGTATGTCAATGTCATGCTTCATTGCGGGCATTCCAGTCACATCAGTGTATGATGAGCCAGTTCGCATCTTGGTTTATATATATTTCATCTTCTACTGAGCCAACTTTTTTGTTTTAACAAAGTGAGAAGCCAGTGAGTCTGGTTTAGAACCTCAGTACACGGTCACTCGGTCAGTGATCTGCAAGTACAAAAGGATGACATGACAAGCTACGCTTCTTACATCGCAATGATATTAATTCAGATAGCGTATGGTGGATCAAACATCCTCATCAAAGTTGCCATCGACAAGGGCCTCGATCAACTCCTCGTCGTCGTGTACCGCCATGTTATAGCCATGTTCGTGCTATTCCCCTTCGCATTTGTGCTCCGAAGGTATATACATATATGCATGGTTAGCGTCCAGAGATCATGAGTTCAAATTCGATCGCATGTTTGTGAAATATTATGATATTGAAAGCAGGAGACAGCGGCCTGCACTCATTCTCGGTGAAGGTCAAGATCTTTGTGATGCCTTCACTGGGAGCTACAGTTCACCTAAACGTTTATTCTGCAGGCCTTCACTACGTCTCCCCAACAGCAGCCAGTGCCTTGAGCAACGTTGCTCCTGGTTTAACTTTCATCACGGCAGTTATTCTGCGGTAATATAATTCTACTGGCTAGATCTCCTGATTTAAAGTGTAATCATTTCAAAACTGATGATAACGAACTAATGCAAGATGGAGTCGGTGGAGATTAGACAAGCGAGAGGGCAGGCCAAGGTGGTGGGCGCACTGATTTGCGTGGGTGGGGCCCTTATTTTTACGTTTTGGAAAGGAGGGGTTCTGTTGAGGGCATTTGTGGAGAGGCCTCTGATTCTCGTTCACGCGACAAGGCATCACAGGGTGAATGAGATCAAAGGATCGTTTCTTATTCTCCTCAGTCATGTTGCTTGGAGTGCATGGCTCGTTCTGCTGGTGCGATATAGTTAGGCAAACAATGTTACCGTGTTAAGGATGGAGTTCTATTTTATATAAGACCCGGTCGACCCTTTAATTCGTAATACGTTCCATATTATTGTTAGGCTGCAGTGCTCGGTTGTCTCTCAACGTTCTGATACATGCTTCTTCGTATCATTACAGTCCCCTGTGCTTGCCCTGTTTTTTGCCAGAGACTTGAGCTTCTGGAGGCTGGGCTGGGATGACAGCTTTTCACTGTTGTCTATTGCGTGAGCTGTACATATATTAATCCTTTTGTTTCTGCATGGTTGTGTAGAACTAATTGATGGTATTGCAGGGGGTAGTGCCGCTATCGGGCGGGATGTTCTGCTTACAAATATGGTGTATCAGCGTGAAAGGCCCTGTTTTTGTGGCCATGTTTATTCCGCAGTTGCTAGTTTTTGTGGGAATCTTCTCTTCCGTTGCTTTTGCAGGGAGATTTCATCTGAGCAGGTGGTTTTTCATTCATATGAAATGTTGAATTAGATTCAAGTAGGTTGACTTGTTTCATTATTGCAAGTGTATCTTGCTGGGTGCATTTCTGATCACTGGAGGGCTTTACTGTGTTCTCTGGGGCAAGAGTTTAGATGCGGCCCGTGTCACGAAAAAGGGAAAGAACGAGCACAAGAATGGGAACGAGGTGATCCATGTTTGTGTCCAGCAGCAGGAGTCCTGAGCCACAATAGTATTGAAGGAAGAGAGGGCCTGGAAGACAAGAGTACTTGACCCATATATTATGTCAACGGTACGATGCAATGTTGTGCATGTTAATTATAATGCTGAGCAACTGAATTAGACGGTACCCAAATATATATATATATTGGCGCTTTCCTTGTATAACCATCAAGACTCGGAGAGGGCCGGCCCTCACCCATCTCTCCCCCACCATCATCGTCATTAATTCTGTATACGTGTACTCATTTGATTTATATTAACCATTCAATTTGTGAAGCTACAAAGATATGTAAATTAAGTTTCACCATCACCTAGTCGAGTGTTGGGCGTCACGGACCATTTGTCGCGGAGGTAAATAATTAAGTAAAAGAGGGAAGAGGGAAAGGCAGGTAGGAATTAATAAAGAAAATGAACATAGCGATGACAATAGTTAGTTGAGGAAGCGTGACGGGAAAGGGAAGGCAACCTAGGACACGGCTCCTTCTGGGCTGATCAGCCGCTACGTACGTACGTACGTACGTACATCTGCATCAAATGAATCACAGCGTGCTTGAGGTCAAAATGGCCCCATGTAATAGATGCAAGTATAAGTTCAACCATCCGGAGCAGCTGCACTAATGAATAAGGACAAGGAGATGCGTGCGTGTTGACTACAAGAGAAAGGTTGGTATGTCATGGGCGCGTGGATTATGGACTTTGAGAACGTTTGGTTGGTTCTTGGATCTAACGGTCAAATCCCTCCCGCCCCTTAAAATGCCCCCGCGATCTCTTCTGAACTAGTTAGACACACACACACACATATATAATTCTCCCCTTTCCATCCATGCACATTGCCATTGCCTTCTCTTGTATTCATTCAACTCATGCCGCCGCAAAGAAGATGAAGAAGCCTAGAGGATCCCGATCGAGTGCGTGTGAAGATACGGATGTGTTCTTCCTTTCAACCTTTCCGATCCGTCAGGTGTGTATCAACGCATTTTACCGCACAACATCGATCCATATCTCTGGTGTGACCAGGGTTGTTTGTATATATGCCTGTTTCGTGCCAGCCGGGTGCTTGCATTTAATTGAATGACTCGTTTCCGATTGTTTGACTAATTAGTATGTAGGATGGGGGATCCATGCATGATGAAATTGCCTGCGGGAGGAATAATAATGTAGATTCGGAATCCCAGAATATAGTAATTAGGAAGATATATGAATTTAATTAATGAACTAATTAATTAGATGAATGAATGAATGAATGAATGAGTGGAATTTGCAATTTGATCTGAGGGGCATTAGATTAGGTTGAAGGTGCGGGAATGATGATGGTGGAGTGAGAAATGAAAGAGGAGGAGAGGAAATGGAGATGCATGGGAAACTACCAATCAGAGAGAGGAGACTGGTAGTTTTGGGGAGGAGAGGGTGGAGCCATTCATTAATTGGTTGATGGATGGGGATATTATAATTATAAATAAGTCACGCTTATCTCTCTGACTGTTAGCTTTGTTGACCATTGGGTGGCCCACATCCCTTCTGGACCTCCAAACGTCCATGCCCATTCCCTCAATCACATCTCTCTCTCTCTCTCTGGGGGCAATATCCGAATCATCCTCCATGATCTTTTCCGTATAAGGCCTCAAAGCCCAGTAGCTTGGGCTTGGAATAATCTTGATAGTCCGCTGTTTCGCGAATCATGGTTCTGCCCATGCACCGACACCGACACTTTGCAGGACTGCTCCTCTTTTATGAATTTTCCCTGTTAATCCTCTTCTCCGCTCTTCAATATACAAGTTCGCTCCAACGGTTTTTTTTTTTTTTAGTTCTCGACTTTTGTATTTCTCATTTATTTTTTTTGTTTTACAAACTACTTTTCTTGATTGTATGTATAAATAGTGCAGTGAATATGAATAGTTTTCAATATATAAATTAATAAAAGGATGGATATTTTAGAAAAACCAGCACATCTTTAACTATTCCTTGTGAATTAGTTCTTATATTTACAACTGGAGGAAATATTTCAGCTGCTAACCTTCCAGTCCTTTTCATAAAGCCCTCTTAACTAATTTTTTTATAACTTTTCCAAACCATATATCTTTTGATCGGTATAGTTTATTGGGGTAGAAAAAATGGGAGGATGGAAGAGCCGTTTATTAATAATTTAACATAAGAGTGAAAGAGGCAAGGTTAATTTTTGAAAATTCCTCATGAATGTGTCATTAACTTTTTATAAAAAATCTTGCATTGAACTAATTGGTAGGATCTTTATAAGCAAGAGCAAGGGATGAGTGTGTCAATATAATCTAATATATATATATATATATATATATATAGCAAGTTCCATGCAATATATCAAGATTACTATTCTGAGCTCACTTTACCTAAACTTACTTAAACTTATATCATCTCGCGAGTCTTTACATTCTTAAGAGTCTGAAATTCAAGTTTGTTCCACTATTTTTCTCCTCATCAAATGTATTTTTTATTTCTCCCTGGCTTGTTTTTGGGATGGAATGCTTTAACTGAAAGGGGTTTAGTGTTTCTGGTCTCAACATAAATGGAGGCCTATATTATTGGTTTCACTTTGACTGAAAGGAAAGTCATCAGGAGCATCTATTGCAAGATTTGAAGGATTACTTTAAGAAACCAAGATTTACAATAACATCAATGACTTCTTTCACAAACTTAAGAGACCTTAAGTTTCACTAAACCTTCGAATTATATACTATATATACATGTAATTATATGTGAATAGTTACATAGTTGTATATGCATGTGCTATATACAACTAATGTTATTAGGAGATTAATGGAAGGGAGATATCCAAACCCCGATTTCTTTCGTCAATACATGGTTTGTTTTACATACATTAATAATTAATGCTGTTAAATTTGTTTTTGTGTGTGACCACGTGTGATATTATAAATTTCTTATATTTCCATGGTTAGCTTTCCTTTGATCGATCATCGCCACGTGTTAGCTGGTAATACTTGTCATATATTTATTGATGCTTGATCACTCATAAACAAGGGAGACATGATGGTTAAATTTAACATTATGGCATGGTGCATGCAGAATTTTACGAGTGACTGTGCAATGTACGCACGTAGGAGATCGAAAGCTCATGCAATTTCATTTATGCATGCCTCCAGCAAAGGTATGTTCCCAAATATCTTCCTGTCTAACCTGCATATTTTGTTCGTTACTTACTAATAACAATTAGCGATTACAGTGACCATATGTCCATGACCCCTCGATGCTAACTTCGTGGAATATATATATATATATATATATAATTGGTTCGCTGTGTAAGGCTTATAATTAACTTTATTACATATATACGTAGGGGGTTCTATTCCAAAATCATGAAGCTATTCAAAACGACCAGATTCGCATGTCATTTTCACATTGGAAAGTAATTATAATTAACAATATACGAGAGAGTCTGAATCATATACAGTGAGTCAATTCAATACTTTCACACTAGAAATATCCCTTTCTCTGTAATTAATGTGGCCTTGTGTATTATAATTTGTTTGTGATCTTTCTTAGGTTAAAATTATAATCACTTTGCCGCATAATGTTGCCGATCGAAGTGTATTGAAAAGGTTGCCAGAGTATCCGAGCCTTTTCACTCACTTAGCTTGGATCTACGTTAATAATAGTACTACGTACCACAATTTAATGATAAATATATATCATGTACATTCAAATCAGCATTACTCATAATTCCATGCATGCTATAAATTCTGAAATTGTTTCTTTTCAAGAAATATTTTTCCGGATGTATTCTTTGCATCGTTAATTGTCTTCTCTGCTTTAACCAAGTCGATCAATGCTTAGCTGTTATCAAGACTTTTTTTCGCATCTTTTTTTTTATTCATTAACTGCGCATCTTCAACTTTGCTTAGTGAAAAGAGAATTCCATTCCACAGAGCTAACCTTGAAGAAGGGATCAAACCTTATTAATCATACACGTATCCACATCTTTTTTATTTTCTGGTTTGGTTGTAAAGACACCTTGGAAAGCCTTTTAATTTGACACTCATGCTATATATTGAGTATTGAGATGACAATGATTTATATTATGTACCACGAAGTTGAGTGAAATAGTAGATGATACTTCCTGACTAGACTTGAATCTAGAAATATTCACTACCGTTTTATAATAGCTATTTAAGGTGATCTGGCCTAATAATCTATACAAACTATTTTACATTATTCTTGCTGGATTAATCACACATTAATACTCTAATATTCCAACAATTCTTGCATGCATGTTGGTGTGTTTATATGTATTTTATCGAAAGCATATAGATAGAGTATACTGACTTAATTAAGCTTGCAAATATGCATACGGACCAAATTAATGCTAGGTATTAAAAAAATACAATTTAGAAGTCAAATTTGTTGCACTAATTAACCAAATGTAGTTATATACATGTAGAACATGAACATTGACTGTTTATAAGTGCAACATCTGGCTAGAAAACAACATGATGAATTTCATTTTATTGATTATCTACGCTTGTTAATAAGTAGACTGTAACAAATGTATAGGCGTCGAAATTGATTGATGGATAGATTTGATTACAACGTGTTTCAAGTTTTCTTAGTAAAACATTTGTAAGAACACTGGGCCGGGAAAATAATTTGGAGGAAGTAAATACACACACCCATGAACTTTATCCAGTCTTCATTTCAAAATTAAGGGCATGGCATCGATCTGGTTAGAGTTGATGAATCTTAACAGCATATAGAGACTCGGGATGAATGAGCTAGCTAATAAAGACATCATTTTGCTATTTTCATTTCTTCATATAATTAGTATCTAACACTACAAGAAGGTAAACTTAAATCTAATTGATTAGCCAGGTTACTATATATATATGTGTGTGTGTGTGCGTAATTTCTTGAGTGTTTTGATATAATCCGGATGGTGCTTTCAGCAGTATTGCTTTAAAACGTGTCCTCCATGCTCTGACTATCCCGTGTGATGATTTACACTGTCTTTCACTTGGATTTGTCTGAAATGAATTGTTTGAGTGGATTGTATGGGTAATATATTTCTCCCGCTGGAGCGGTGCTAGATCAGGGAGTCATATGTATCAATATGATGATCTCTGTTTGAGAAAGAGATGCAAGTATGTATAAATAGTAGAATTAACATGCGCATTTCCATCTTGCATATATATGAATTGAATATGTTATACATAAACGAGGCAAATCTATTACAAACAGACTGTTTTGTTGTACAACAAAGCTCAAGAAGATAATACATATATGTGAATACATGCAAGATACAAGACCCCATTCAATAAAAAACCGTAGGTGAGATACTAACACGGACATTGAGATAGACACGGCATGCCCAGTGTGTAATGCATGTATTGCACAATAATGTACTAGTTTCTCTTGGTTTCTTGATGGTTGAGCTGCACATATATATATATATATATATATGAATACATGGAACGACCAAAATATAGAATACACGATAGACACAAAACATAATACATAAATGCACTCCGGTAGCAATAGGGCTCGTAGAAGTAACGAAGTGGAAGGTGATGGTGCAGGATGGAGGATCATGAGTGGCTAGCGGACACGATCTGCATCGGGCATGTTGTTGGCGGGATCGTTGTAGGCGACACCGCCAGTGGAATTATATGGAGGGGGCGGAGGGTGCTGTTGAGCAGAAAAGGCATCGTCGTTGATGAGGGAGTTGATGAAAGAGGAGAAAACGTCGTCGGTACAGTAGTTGATATCGTCCTCGACAACGTCGTCGTCGTCGTCGTCGTCGTCCACGGGGTCATCGGGATTGGTGGGGGTATTGGACAAGGGGAGCGGTGGGGGTAGATCCCCGGGGGCCAAGGGGTGATCATATGGATCCGAGAGAGGGGGAGGAGTGGCGTGACAGAAGGGACGGGGGTCCTGCTCGGCAACTGGAGGTTTACTGGGATTAGGTTTAGCGGAAGCAGGGAGGCTGGGCGATGAATTGTGATGATGGAGCGAACACGGAGCAGCAGCAGTGGTGGTTGAAGGGTGGGTATTATTAGGGCTGAGGGGCTTGTGGGTGCGGGGATCGATGCCTTGGCTGATGAGCTTCTTGCTGAGATGGGTGTTCCAGTAGTTCTTAATCTCGTTGTCGGTCCTCCCGGGGATCCTGCCCGCGATCAGAGACCACCTGACACCGCACGCAAACCCTAATTTTATGAAATGAATAGAAATAGAGGAGAAGAGAAGCGGGAGAGGGGTACCGATTGCCGAGGAGGCGGTGGAGGCGGAGGATGAGGTCCTCCTCGTCGGGGGCGATGTGGCCGCGCTTGACGGAGGGGCGGAGATAGTTCATCCAGCGGAGGCGGCAGCTTTTGCCGCAGCGGAGGAGACCGGCTCGCTTGGGGAGGGTGCGCCATCTGCCTTCTCCCTCTTTCTGGATGCACTTGGAGAGGAGCTCGTCTTCTTCGGGAGTCCAGGGCCCTCTCTTGAGCCCTACTTTGGCGCAGCAGGGGGTGGTCTTGGCAGCTGCCCTGGACGACGCCTGCGACGGCTTTCTCATACCTCAACGCTGGATCTGCGGTACAAGAGATTGGGTGTGAGTGCATATGTTACAAAATGGTGTGCCCATATATGTAAGTTGCCCGAATCACAATTATCATCACCTTATGACATGCATCTGCCAATCCCACCAATTCCCCCCTCCCACGCGCTCTCCCAACCCTATTCCCTTTACTTTCTTCTCCGTTAAGGAACTCCCTCCCTCACTCCCTCACTCACTCCCTCACTCCCTCACTTCCACTCTTTTTGTTTTTTTTTTTTAAATTTTACTTTTAGTTATTAATCGAATTTTAAAATTTCCCACCTATTTTTTAAAACTCTTTCTTGTTTTTTTTTTTACGTTTCTTTTCCGACAAAATAATAAAATTGTATGTCTGTTTTTGGAATAAAAAATTATGTTCGTTCTATATTTATTTGCAAATATGTGTGATTCCATGATAAGGGAAGAAAGTTCAATTTTTTTCCTCCCAATTGAAGTGGCAAGTTACAAGTTGAAAAAGTCTAATTAGTGGTCACAGACCCCAAATCATCTACGTAGTAGAAAAACAAAAACAAAAACAGAAAAAAAGAACATCCTTAAGTAAGCTGAAGTCTTTCTCCATGAATTGGGCATCTTTGAGAAAGTTCAATTAATGTTACTTCACGACAGGATGATAGCCAGAATTAGCCCGTTGATTCCAAGCTTCTCCATGGCGCGTAGAATCTATCGTCGTCCGGGGCCCATGGACATAAATATGAGGGCCCAGGCACTTTATCTGAAGTGATTGGGTTGGGCTATTTGGCCCTCGGACATGGACCCGTCCCATTTTTGTTTACTTTTATGACTTTTAACTTTCTCTGTACGACTGTACCCGTCGCTCATTTCTTTTTCATGTTGGCTAATGACGCTAATATAGGAAAAAATTCTTTTGTTTAGGTTTTATATTTTTGTTATTATCTTTTTATAGTTAATTACATCATAATTATTGGTGAAGTTATAAATTTCATAACTTAATATTTCGTGATTAAATATTTATAATCTTATAGAAAATTCTAACACCCTTGCAATATATATCATGGTCCTCATTTTGTGCTCCTCACGCATAAATGATTTGGACCATTCACTTTTTCTTTAAATGATCTTTGTTATTGATTTAAATTTTTTAAAAATCCTTTTAGTATTATATTTATCAAAATAAAAATATATAAAAATTATAAAAAAATTTAATATTAAATTTAAACTGTTTGTTATGCTTATTAAAGAATGGATACCATGATAGTCATCACCCTTGATAAAATTTGAACAATTTAAATTTAAATTTTTTATATTTATTTAAATAAAATATGTAAAAAAATATAGAAACATTTACTAAAAATTCTTATCACTAATCCAATAAGTACAGATTTAATTTAAATAACCTAATTTAATGCTATTTTTTAATAATTTTTACAAATTAACTATTTAAACATATTTTATACGGTATAGATATAATTTAAAAGATTTAATTTAATATTAAATTTTTTATAATTTTTATATATTTTTATTTCGATAAATATAATATCTAAAAATAATTTAAAATCAACATCAAAGAACATTTGAAGATGAAAATGCAGGGCTCAGATAACCTTTTAGGTCTGAGCATACAGTCGTTTGAGGAAGAAAATGAAAGGCTAGGTGATCTGAGCACAGGGTGCTCATCATTTGAATGCGAATCCTATGTATCACCAAACAATAGCCAAGAAAATGCCACTGCAATCAACTGCTGGGATTCGTTCCGCCCCAATATCGGCTAAAAAGTAAATAGAACCTTAGTGCCAACTTACAGGAGACCATAAAAACTACAACCCATGAAAGTTTACCATGGGGGAAAAGGTTGATGCCGCTCTACTAGCTTGGCTCAAGATGAAACATGAGCCGCTATGAACAAATTCAAAATGTGAAACTAATCTTTCCATTGAGACGGCATCCAAATGAAAACAAATGAAGACGCACAAATATGACCTCACTAAAAAACCAAATAGAAGTCCAAATCTCAGGATAGTTTAACAGAATCAATCCAGCCGGCTTTCGAGGCATCAGTTCTGCAAATCAACACATCGATAAATACCATACGTAGCTCAGAAAAACAGCCTTGGTAGCAAGGAATCCTATCATACAGGTAAAGTCTGCACTCTTATGTGCTTGTACTTTTGCTCTTTATTAAACCTTCTTGCACTCTCTGTCAGACCTCTTGATAAAAGGAGCTTCAATACCTCAACTCCCTCATCCAAAGCACCGTCAATCTGTCCAACAAGCAAACAGCAGTTCACTTGCCTAAGAAAGTTAAATGCATCACAATTATTCCTTGCACTTAATTGTCTCAAACTGAAACAAAGTGAATTCTTCTAGTGGAATTCAATCCAAAAGAACTTACTCGCTGCCTGGCGGCTACATTGAATTTTTGAAGCAAGAATGCTTTAGGATCCATTTGCCCTGGAGGCCTTCCGATCCCTTGCACCAACCAAATTGAAAATAATAATGATAATTATTCTTTAAAATGTAGGGGGGACAAAAATTATTTGACCCAAGAGTACCAACCAATTCTTAACCGAGGAAATTCTCTATTTCCTCGAAAGTGATATATGACACTCTTCAACCTGGTTCAGTGAAAAGAACTGAGTCTAAGAAGACACATGACTGGGACGAATGAGAGCAGAAACTAGTTACATTTCATGATCTCAATTCCAGGCACAAGCCAGCAAGTAACGGCGGAGGCATTACAACTTTTGGCCCTCAAAAAACAACCATCAAATGAAAAACGGTAAAATTTGAAGCAATATTAGCAAAACTGGATGTTTCCACCATATGAATGGATGAAAAAAAGTCGGACAGATAGACCACTTGATTTGGTCGCCATACAAAATACTGAAAGACCATCTATCTACCAAAGATTTCTCATCCACAATTTTGAGCAATTTCATATAGTTCTGTATTTTCAAAATAAAATTTTGTTCTCAATATGAATTTTTTTAGCATTTAGACTCTAGACGGTACATGTCAAGGATAATAACTCCATAATGTACAGAAAATTAGAATCAGTATTGGTATAATTTGACATGGCTGACTGTTTGTCCTTAAGCCACTACCACTAAGCATTCAAAGAACAAGCAAGTCTTTTTCAAGAATTCATCACTCAAGGTAGAGCCACGAGGATGTGAGAAGAGCTCAGAAGTATTCAAGAGATCAACTACATAAATGAGCATAATCCAACTCAAGCGGAGAAGGACTTATAGCATATGGGGGCCTAATAACAAGAAGAACACAGTAGAGGCTATAAAGCGCTATTGGACTTCATCTTAACCCCAAGACACTAATATACACATGTAGGGGGCAAATGAGGTCTTAATTGTGTTTATCCAAGTCTTATTGGGCGCTTAAAATGGCCCAAGGAAATTGGAGGACAAGACAAATGAACTGATTACAATTTTGGACAACCAAAGGCAGTGTTAGATACTTGTTTCCCAAGTTACGCCCATTCTTGCTCTCGAAGGCAAATGAACGGTTTATCATAGTGATCTTATAATAGGAAAGATTTTATCTAGTTACGTTGGTTTCCCATTTTTCATCGGATTCCTGTTTTAGGTTTGAGATGTTAGTTTCCTAAATTATACATGTAGGACAATATTCTCATTGTTCCCCTTTTTCATAGGGAGTCTGATTAGTATTGCCAGTCGCCTATAAATTCTACAATAATACTATAATGTAAGACATCGGAATTGGAAGTTTTATAATGCATAGCATCAAGTACCAACTTCGGGTGACATGACCAAAAGGTTTTTCATCAATTGTTATTCCAACGTTTTATTAATTGAGGGCACGTCTTACAGTTGGGCAGCCTTTTTTCATGTGTCCTCATTTTTATCTTCAGCATAAGAGAGTTAACACAAGCATATTTATTGGATTAACGGATCACAAAGTCATGATATATGTCGAACAGAAACAGAGACATGAGACATTAATTTGTCAAAAGTTGAAATATAAGTTGTCATGATCAAACGACTTAAGGACACAATAATCATATGGTATTATACCCGTTGTGGCTTCCATGACCTCCTTTGTCATGAAGACGAAGCACCCCGCATGGCAAATTCATGTCATCATGGATCTGCAACCCAAAAGAGTTGACTGAAATGAGGAACAACAAATTTATTATCAATTGGATGCATATAAGAATGGGGGTGAATGCAATGAATTACCACAAGCACGCGATCAAGAGGTAGCTTGTAATAAGCAGCCATGGGTCCTGCCTGCAATTACAGGGCAAAATATGTTATCTCATAAATTAAAACCTAGAACAAAATGCATATTGAAGTAAAGCATCAACAATCCAAACAAATAATAACCACAGAATGGCAATAAACCTACAGATTGAATCAACAAGGATCTTGGACCCCAAAAAAAAAAAAAATCTACAAGGATCATACAAACAAGCACACAGAACAAGGAAACGAAACAAGATACAGTGGATTATGCAGATAACTATTAAAGTTTAATAGTTCCATAGTCAATTCCAAGATATTACCAGCGGCGCAAATTAATCTGATATTAATGTCAATCAAGAAATAGATTTTCAGGATTCCAAATAGAGCCAGAACAGTTATCACTCAAAATAGTATAAATTAACGGGAAAATAATAGGCCATATTTGCAAGTGAGAGTTGACAAGAGCTTTGACTAGGTAAACCTCAGGAACTAAGTTGAATATCTTGAATCCTTACTGATTCACCACTAAGATTCATGTAAGTTTGAGGCTTTGCAAGGAAAACAGGAATTTCACCAACAATACCTGCAATGGATTGTCGCACAAATTACTCAGAAATGCAACACATAATGGAAAAAATAAATAAATGAGGTTGAAGAAGGAAGATTGAATGCCATGGACCAACCTTGGCCAAAAATGGCTTTGCAATGGACTGTGTTCATAGCAATCCCTTGAGATTGAGCAAATGCATCAATCATCTCAAAGCCAATCTGCTTTCAATAACATTGTATTATCTTTTGAGGAAACTAAAAAGTAAACCTGTAGGATGCATTACATTTTAGATTACAGTATACATTGTGTCTAGTTCCCTTGTACTTTTCACCAGGATTGCCCAACCCAACAAAGAGCCATGGCCGAGGAGTAGCAGCACACAAGCAGCGCCTATACAAGTGATTAAGCATATTGTCCAGGAACTCAGGCAGTCTTCACCAAATTGCAACACATTTTCTATGCACTGAATTTGGTTCACCTGCAATTCTGCAACTAAACCGATAAGTTTTTATCTATGAAGTTGTTTCCTTAGATTAGAGGGGCCATAGTGCATAAAGAACAAACTTAATAAAACAAATTGATTATAATTTCAACCTTGTGGCTAATAACCAGGCTTTCCTGATTTCAGATGTAACTGTACAAGTTAAGGCAAAGAAACAATCTAAAAACAACAAATTTGAGGATACCATCAACCATTACAACACCATTTTTAAGCTACTAAAGAAATTTCTAAAAAACTCCTACGTTATATTCAATTCCATCAAACCATTATCAACACATCCATTTACGGCTTAAATAAACGAGCTTTTAATTGAACCATGAAATGATCCATAATCAAATCAATCCATAGTAGGTGAGTAAATTCACGGCTTTTCATAAACCTACAAGTGACAAGGTCCACGACGACTTAAAAGTTAGGAGAAGAAGAATAGCAAGGGTTAGATCACAAAACTATGTAAAGCAGCAAAAAAGGTAATGACAATATATGACCAAGTCAACAAAGTAGAGATGGGTTTGCCATAGGATGATGAGGCATGGCACAAATTTATATGTAACAACAAGGGGAAAGTTCAAGTTCCCTCATTTGGTATGACAATAAGAGAACAACCCAAAGAAATTCTCATTTCCTTGTTATTATCAAAAATATTTGCATCAGATTAAGTGGCCGAGGTCTTAGGTTTGGTGCGGACAACTGCAGCTCACTATCTTTCTGGCAGTGATATCTGAGGTTCAACAAGTGCATGCTTGCTGTTGAGATAAACCAAGAAGGTGGCAATGAATGCAAAGAAAGGGAAAGTGTTTTCTGAAGAGCAATAACTTTCCTAATGTAATTACATATTCTAATGATATGATATATCAAAATCAACGTTCAATGTATATAACCTAGAGAACGCTGCACTATTTCCCTAGGGAAGAATCACCTCCAGCCAATCATCAAAGAAGTATCACAAAGTTCAATGGTGATTTCTCACGGTTGGCCTTAAAGGAATATGGAAGGCTACAATATTTAAGCCAAGTTCAACAGTTGTAGATTCTCAGAGATAATCTCTAAAGGTAAGCATTGAATTATTGCTGGTGGAAAGCTTTAGAACAAGCCTCGGTCACCAAAAATTGCCACAAGAGCAAGTCCCCCCAGTGAAGTGGTGGAATCTCATGTTATCTCTGACAATAATCTTTCTTTTTGTAATTTTTGATGCACCACACATAACAATATGGCAATCCTCACATATTCTAAGGTTTTTCATAATCTTTATAGTGGAATCAGCATCTGTATTCAACAATCCGTATGCCAGAGCCAGCTTTTCACTATGAGTCATTAGTAAACGCTTCTTCTCTTCATCACTAACATCATATGGCACAGAACCCAGATTTGGCTGGTATCCAGTAGCCTCCAGTCGCTCCACAAGATCCTCTAGTGCTTTCCTTATCTCTCTGGTTTGTGGATGTGTTGCATCACCTGCAAAGAATTCTTGAATTATGCCCTTCTTCGCTTCAACCCAGCTGCATCCAGGGTTTTTCTTTAATTTTTTCCCTCTCATCAGTTTCCTCACCCTTGACACATCATCCCACCTACCAACTGATGCGTATGTGTTAGAAAGCAGAATATAGTTTCCTATGCTATCAGGTTCAAGTTCAAATAAATGACTTGCAGCAATTTCAGCAACATCGGGGTTCTCGTGTGTGTGTGATGCTCCAAGAAGTGCTCCCCACACTCCACCATTGGGCTTCATAGGCATTGTTTCAACAAGTTTAAGTGCTTTTTCTAAGTGTCCAGCTCGACCAAGAAGATCTGCCATGCAAGCATAATGATCTGCTGTTGGAGTTATACCATAACATTTTTCCATAATATCAAAGAGCTGCCTCCCTTGGTCTACCATGCCTACATGACTGCAAGCAGAGAGCACTCCTAGAAAAGTGACATGGTTTGGTTTTATCTCTGTCTTTAACATGTCAAAAAATAATTTTATGGCTGCATGAGCTAGGCCATGCATTGCAAATCCTACAATCATAGAACTGTAGGAAAATACATTTCTTTCCTTCATTACCAAAAAAAGCTTGTATGCCTCCTCCACATTACCACACTTTGAGTACATGTCAATTAATGCTGATCCCACAACTACATTATCGGCTGGCCTAAATCTCGAACTCTCGGCAATGTCCCTGATCCAATTAGCATGTTTTGATGCACCTAATTGAGAACAAGCAGATATAACACCAACCAAGGTAACTTCATCAATCGCAATGCCAGCATCTTGCATTCGCTCAAAAACCTCCAATGCCTTCCTTGGCATGGCATTCTGGGAATAGCCATTAACCATAGCTGTCCAGGCTACCATGTCTTTAGTTGGCAATCCATCAAACAAATCCCCAGCAGATTTCATATCACCCCTTCTTGCATATGCAACAATCAACTCGGTCCAAGAAATCACATCCCTTTCAATCGTTTCATCAAATACTTTATGCCCACAATCCAAAAGCCCACATTTAACATACATATCAATCATAGTGTTGCCAACATACAAATCAGACGCAAAACCACCTATCAGTATTGTCTGAGCATGAACCTGTGACCCCAGACTCGCATTAAGAACAGCACTGCAAGCCTTAAAGAGAGCTGAGAACGTGAATGATACAGGACCAATGCCTTTCTCCCTCATACAGCTATACAAACGAATTGACTCCGACAAGGGTCCTTGAACGCCATAGCCCCGAATCAGAGCAGTCCAAAGAAATGGGTTGGGGTCCTTAACCTGTCTGAAAACAAGGCGGGGGTAAGAGTGCACAGGAACATTCATTTTAATGAGCATACGAATAAGCTTGGTGACAATATAGCAACATTGATCAAGGCCTTTGCGGTAGAGATGGGCATGGACTTGTTTGAGTTGGTTCAAGGTGGTGCATCCATGCAAAGTAGAAACAATATGCGTCTCCAAAATCTTTTGCTCTTTAAGCCCTGAATAGGGAGCAAAAATCCGAGCTGATAGCGGCAGCTGCCGTAAACCATCAAGTCTCAAAACAGGAATAGTGGATATTCTGCGACAGAGAAATATAGCGACTGAATCGGCTAAAAACGTATCTTTGGGAGCATTCAGAACTGCAAGCATTTTCTTCATCTTTCATACCCTCACACGTGGCATAGTATAAGCAGTTCCCGTGTCAAACAAAAAATTGCCAGTGAGCAACTAAACGACCTTTCAGTTTAGGCATGAAACCATGCTCCGTAATCAAGTCAATCTATAGCTGGTGAGAAAACAAAATTCTAAGATTTTTCAGGCTCCGACGAATGGCAACAAAAGATTGTTGGCATCGATCCTAAAAATATGCCATGAAGTGTAACAATTTTGAAGTTGGGAGAAGAAGAACGAAGAAGGTAATATTACCAAACGACGTAAGGCGCAGAAAAAAAAAACAATGACTGACAAAGAAGCAGGTCGACGAAGCCGGGACGGGTTTGCCGTAGGATGATGAAGTTGATAGACAACAAACATGAGGAATTAGCCACTTCAAAAAAAATTTGTGGGTGATAACAAAGGGAATGTTCTGGTGCCCTCGTCTGCTATGAGAACAAGTGAGCAACCCGAAGTAATTATTGTTTCCGTACCTGTTATTGTGGACAAAATTTGTAATGAGATAAGGTAACCGAGACCGGGGGCTCAGTGCTGGCAGCTGCAACTCACGGACGGTCCATCAGTGATCTCCGAGATCCCGGCTAGCGTATGATTGACGTCGATATCAACCAAGGCGGCGGCGAGTGCAGAGGAGGAGGGGAATAAGGATCACCTGAACTGAGCTCGTCTAAACAAAGACTGAGGCAAGTGATTTGTAACCGTCCGATTCAGCAAGGAGAGAAAATTTTGCAACTCAGCGTATAATTGAGAGGAAACATAAAAACCTTGTGATCAATGAAAACTCGTTGATCTAGTTGAGGAATTGATTCCATATCTAGGGGAGCTAGTGGGACATGGCGGAATTGGATACTCCTGTCCCAAAATTTGCCTCAAAAAAATAATTGAAATTAAATTTTTTTCTCTCATCTCATCTTATTTCAAAAATTATTCCATTTCATTAAAAATTAGGATGAAATTAAAAGGAAGTCGAGGCATCTTGATAAAGTAGATAATGTGTAAAAAAACTTAAATAATAATATTCATTAATTTAAATTTTAAATTACATAACATATTAACTTTAAAATCAAAACAACATGAGTATATAAATCACAATAATTTAAAATTAATTATTAAATTATATCAATCACAATTATAAATGTAAACTTTAAATCAAGTATGTATGAGACATAAAATACTATGATAACAATTACAAGTAATTTTTAAGCTATAAAAGCAACAATAACAGACCAGTTAGGCATGATATTAAGTCATTATTCTTCTTTTTTAATTGAGATATATTAAACTAATGACTCTTTTAAAAATAGAGTAAGAAATGTGTATAAACAAAAGTTATTAAATATATAGATATAATAATAATAATAAATTGTATCAATGTAATTAATACATCGTAAAGAAAGATATTATCCTATACTGCTTATTCTATATTATTAAAATTATTAATATAAAAAATTTTAGTTTTAAATAAGAATTGCACATATTAAAATTATAATTAATATAAGTATAAATTATATTAATATAATTAATATATTTAATGTATATTTTTAAAATAAAAATATAATTTATATATATATAAAATATTTAGGACTAGACAAGATGTCCAAAGGGCAATCCCATATCCCGTCCTGAACCTCTTTCTCATCTTATCCAACAAAAGTTCATCCCGATTATTTTTAAGTCGAGACAAAATCCATCCTAATATGACTAGAATGAAATCAGACCGATCGGGATTAGGTACAAGTTGAACCCCTTAACTATGCCTACATCTACTAAAAATATGGATCACTGTAATGAAACCTTGCTGTGGGAACTCTAAACATTTTGGGGTTGCCATTTATATTAGTTAGGGTATATATCATAAATAAAAAAAAACTTATATATTTAATGTATTTGTTTTCAATTAAATCAGAACACATGTATCTTTTATAAATTATTTAATATTTTATAAAAAAATTTATTATTAATATTATTATCATATTAAAATGCACATATCTTGACTTAATTAGATAAAGATATATTAAAATTATAGCCTGTCGAGTTTAGCCCGAATTACCAACTCTATGTATAATTAAAAAATTGTTATTCACAGTAGTCATTTGCATATCAAGGTTGAACTTTACAGAACAAGAAGTAGTGCTATTCATATAGGTGATCCACTCTTATTGTAAAAGTTGATTCACAATTTAAGAAATGCGTATTGAATGCCTATTAAAATTAGTTAGATCAAGTTTTTGTTTATGGTAAGTGTGTAAGTTTGGGATCATCACCCAACTAGCCTGAATTAATTATTTAAAAGTGTTTAGTGAGTGTATAGTAAAATTACTCTAATTTTGGCCATTGATTGTGTTGAGATTATGAGTCAAATTTTTATAATCTTTCGTGATTATTTTTATATATTATTTTCGTGTAAATCTATCATATCTTTATTTAATATTTTAGGAAATATTTATTATTATCTAAGATAATATTTTCAACTGATAAGAAGCTCTATATATATTTTGTCTCTTCATCTCCCATAAAAGAGACAATTATTATAACTTTTATTTTCTATAATGAAATTAATCGCTCATTGCTCGTGAGTTTTCTGTCCCTCAAATTGAGAGTTTTTCCCATGTTAAATTTATTGATTCATTTTTTATTACTTTCTTTAACTTCTCTATAATTTTTAATTATTTTATTCTATTTACTTTCACTAATTATTTACGCACTCCCTAATAGATTGATTAACAGGGTGGTATACAATTCATACTCCCTTAAATTTTGCAAAAGAATCATGGGCTTTAATGTCTCCCCGATTTACTTGATGTCTATATATTCCCTTAAAATGTAATAAATTGGTCTTATCGTAATTCACAATTTGACTATATTTATGTTTAAATGGTGGGGGTTTAGGATGTTAGAGTGTCTTTTCCGTTTGTAATCTCCGTACATAGTTCTTAAATTCTTACAATATTATTTATCTTGATTCAAATTCCATTATTGATAAGGTGATTCTAGTTTTTTTGTATTCCTTGAAATTATCTTGGAATTTTGTTCTTTTAGTATTTCAACTATTCATCGATGACTAGATGATAATATAGATAAACCATTACATTTAGCCTTTTTCATGTAAAATATATAGTTCCATTGTGGCCTTCAGACATTGACATTGATATTTCAATAATTTTCATGGAAATATGTGAATGTGGGGCAGTTGATGGCGGTCTTCACTAATGTATATTATCGAATAAACATATTATAACATCCCAAATTTTATTTAAGGTGGACTTAATTAATTAATTAGGCTAATTAGAGATTAGTACTTTGGCTTAGAAAGACCAATTAGGCCTATTAGACCTCTGGAGGGGGTCAAAAATAGAGTTTAAAGAGTTAATGTGCTAGATTAAGCCCAGATTTTTAAGCTTAAGTGATGCTGCCTGTTTTCGAGTTGTTTGCCATAACGAATAATATTTCTCATCATGATGAGTGCACTAAAATTTTAAAATCAATTAGCTATTCAAAAAAAAAAAAAAAGAGGTTGAAGGGCTTTGTTTAGCAGGTAAAAAGCAACTCTACTGTGGTTTCAACCTAGAGGGTGGTTTTGGGAACATTTTAGGACTTCCATAGCATTGGGTAAGCTTCATTATCTCTTATTCTACCTCTTCTCTTATCGTTCTTTTGATTTAAAGTATGGGTAAGTTGAGATTCAAATTTATGGTGGTGTTACAGCCACTCTTAAGACTTAAATGAGGTTCATTGGTGGCATTTAAATGCTCCTATGTAATATTCACATTGACATTACCAAGACAACACTTACACATTATTGTGATAACTCGGATTAAATAGAATTCTCAGAAGAAGTTACCACAACTCAAGGATTTAAAGATAATTAGTTAAAACATTGGGATCCCAAGAAAACCCTTTTTAATATATTGTTTGAACTCAAACTATGGTTAAAAATCAATTTAGAGCAAATACGAAAGTACGGGAAACAAACTACAACAAAATCTGGCTTAAATGCCATTTTTCAACAAATACTGATCCGTCCACCGCGGCGCAGGCCATGCCTGCCGTAGCGGATGGCGCAGAGGGACAAGTCTCTCAATTGCCCAATGTGTCACGACGCAACAACCATGCACTACGGCGCACACCTGCTGTCATGGCATCTCTTTAAACTTCCGGAGCACACCGTTTCGCCATCCGACATCCGATTTGAGCGGTTTAAGTGTCCACATGAAGTTCTTTGAGCCCTCTAGCTAATGGCACCAGTCTTACACCTAAACAATCATCCATTTAAAAGATTGATACCCAAAACCAACATGGTTCATTTTCACAACAAAACACATACTATGGTGTTCAACTCACAATACACAACGCCAATAGCCCGGCAGATAACTTGACTACCTCAAATGGACCATACACCATATAACAATCCATTCACATTACACAATTAAGTAATCACGCTCAAAATGACTACCAAACCTCCATTGGATAAAAACAAAATAGGGTGGACAAAATTCAACACATCAATCAATTGGTCATTTTAACACTCAAAACACTTAATATATATATATATATATATATATCACTTGTAAGCAACTTGACCAAGCACACAATTAATCCATATCTTCACTCCTAGACCAAGATATACATGCTTATCACAATTTCATATAAGTGATGTCCAAATAATGTCATGTTCTTAAGTTGGTAATAATTATCAACAATATTTGTTATAACACATAAAAAGAGAAAAGGGAAGAGCTATACAATGATGCTCTTCACTCTTCAAATGCCCTTTCCTTCCCCTTGCCCCTACCTGAGCTTTCACCTGTAAAATATAACTATAGGGTGAAATAAATATTTTAATAACCAATACAACTCATTAAATGTTTATTACCACAAATAACCATGAAAAAGTATCAAAACCATAAAAATACCAAGCACACCATAATTATGAGATATATGGATCTCTTCTTAACAAAACGTGTAGTTTTACACTAGCATGATCATCTAACCACTAAACCTCTAATGCTCCCTGACATGAAACCATAGGCTCCCCTAGTTCAACTACTTATTGACCCGAGCACATTTTCGGTGGTAGAAATACCCGGCCAAAGGTAATCGAACCTGCCTATGGACTATGATTTTTTCCTCTTCACACATTTGTGATAGAGACATCGTTGACTCCTAACCGCACCCTAACAGGTATTAGAGAGTTGCCAGATTGCCCGAATGTCCTATGGTAACAATCCCATATAATGCTGCATCGGATGTCCCGTGGTGTCAGCTCGACCATATGAATTTGTCACTCACATATCTCTACATACACATATTCCTACATATCTCGGGTGAACTCCCACCCCCTATGATCATGCTCTTTCACAATTTCCACCACTTTTCATCACATTTTTCACATCACACTTATATATATAGTATATATATTTCAATTAGAAACAATAACCATTTACGAAATACTTTTTCATGCTAAAATCATTTACAATGTCAAATTATGCACAAACCTCTTCAAAAGCACAATTTTATCATTTAAAATTACTTCTACACAATTACAATAATTAATAAACACAATAAACTATATGGTTACCCCAACCTTTTTGTCACACAAAAAGAGTTACCATTGCTCAACGTTAGCTCCACACATTTCATACGCACAATAAAGCTCGAGCAACGCTCAATCTACACTAATAGGTGACAATCATCAATTATCATTTTGAATAACTCCAAATTTACTAGGTTTTAAGTGCTTAAAATACTCAAATTTCTTTTCTAACAATACTAACCACTC